TGTTTTGAATTTAATGAATTATTAAAAATAGGGCCGGAAATAATCCACCCCAGCCTCGTATTCTGTAAGTAAGGGCCGTTAGGAAGACGCATTTTTTCTTCGTCTAACAGGTCCCAGAACGTATCTGCGCCTATTAATAAATCTATGTTTATAGAATTTAAAAACTGCGGATCTGCCAGCGTTATGTTTTCTGGAATACAGAACTGCTCGCTTAATTGACATAAGGCCGGCAACGAAGACGTTAGTCGTGACAAAACAAAACAAGAAATGCGCGTAATGTAATTATTATCAACGCGTGATTTTATTTCAATGTTACAAGTCTCTGAACACTGTAAAACTGAATCGCCTACACCTCTAACTTCAAAAGTGGACTGTATAATTGGTACGTTAATTAATTTGCAAAATGATTCGGTTATAAAACACCGCTGGCTTCCATTGTCAACCAGCGCGCGCGCCTGGTGATAAATACCATTACTATCGGCGACTTCGACAACAGCTGTTGACAATAGAACGGTGTGAGAGCCTATAGATTGAGCGCAATCAATTTGCATGTGTGCTTTGTTAACGTGAATCGGGAACCGGTTTGCGGGACCGGAGGAGGGGACGCTCGCAGGCGGCGCCGCTGCGTCTGCGCTTGTCGCGGAGCTCCCAGTCGCCATACTAAGTGCACGAAGTGCAACCGAATTGTCTGTGTTATCACTATGGATCAATGTGTTATGTTTACGGTTACATTTCCTACACGGACCGAACCTACAACTATCGAGTGCGTGTCCTGAACGTAAACAATTCTTGCAAAGCTTGTGTATGCTTATTAAATTAAATTTTGCTTTTAAATCACTATCAATGAATTTTTGACATGAATATAGGGGATTATTACCGTTGCATTTCAAACAAAACTGTTTGACGCGTTGAGATTGAGTGTCGGCCGGCTTATGTGTAGATACATTGCAGTGAGATGCGTTACGTGAATGTGAGCTTTGCTTTTTGTGCTCAGATAGCGTAGAAGGTTCTTTGTGATGCGAAAGCTGCAATGTTTCCAACATATCCGCCCGTGCCTTTAAGAATCCGATTAATTCGTCTAGTTTTATTATGCGTTTAGAATAGGGAAGATGCATATATAATATTTATGAAAATTTTATGATTAAAATGTTAAAAAAATATAAAAGAAATGCTACTGCAACGTTTTTATTTTACATAATGTTGTTTTTTAACAATTATTATGAATTAAAAATACTTGAAACGGAACGTATTTTAAAACACCAATCAGCGTTTAGTGACGTCTCTCCTGTTATGACAACTTCTTTGAGGTATGGTTGTTAAAGTAAATATTATTTTATGGGAATATTTATTGCGTTTTTTTACATTTAATAAAAATGGAAGTTGCGTTTATCAAAGCAGACTCCAGGAGTTTACCAAGAGTTAGCGTTGACATGGTTATAACTTTTTTTGTCCAAAGTGCAGAGTTTTTAAGTGTAGAAATGAAAGGGACTAAATTACTACGGTATGCAAAAATCGTAGTTGTTAAACTTCGTATTTTATTCAGCGGCTTCTACAAATCTTACGGCGATAATGCAATCGGCTATGTCCAAATTAAAAGAGATGGAAAATTATGTACAGTAAAAGGTCGAGTTCTCCGGAGCATAAAGTACGTAAAGAAGGTTATCGTGTTACAGTTATTTTAAATGAAACGCAAAGCTTGGTTCAGTCCTGCCAATGTGAAGACTGTGCCACACATTTTAAACTTTATCTAATTTTCGACGTCATTCTCCAACTGTAAAATTAAAAATATGTTATAGACAGGTTTTGTAAGTATTAGGTAGGTTACTAATGCGTTTTTACGTACAAGCAGATTAATTAAGCATATAACAAGTATATTCGCCGACTTACGTCAAAGTGATCTTCTCAGCATCGAATAATGGTCTTTGGAGAATAATTGTCATTTCTCTTCGCAGCTTGAAACCACTTTTTTCAGTTTTGGGTCAGAAGTTCCAGTCAAAAACAATTTATTTGGGAACTTTGTTGAAGTAGATTGGCACAAAACATGAGTCAACACGGCTTTTTTTCGGAATATTAGTGGTATTGTTATGATCACATAATGTTGATAGATAGTCCATTTTAAATTTTTCAAAAAAAAATTTCGAAAGTCGAAAAAATATGCAAAAGTATGAAAATTTAAAGCCAGCAACGAACAATTACGACCAGTGACAGACAGGAGTGACGTCATCGCAACCATAGGTTCGTTTTCGCGCGAAAATTTAAATTGTCAATTTAAAACCGCATTTTTTCCGATAAATCACAATGTTTTAATTTTTTAATATATCTGTGTTTTATTCTACATGGAATTCTTTAAAATGAAAACAAAAATAAAAATATTGCATCTTCCCTATTGTTGTCGTTCGGAATTAACGTACACTTGTAGGTCTCCCATTCGCGTTCAGTGGTTCTATCTGACTTTGACACAATAATATAATTTATGAGGGTGTCCCAAGAATCCGTTGGTTCACCTAGGATTTTTAAAGCGCGTAAATTTTTAAGTATGGTATCTATGAGCTTTCTAATGTAAGCGGGGGACTCCCTAGATAACGGGTTAATAGAAAATAACGCCTTGACGTGGTTATGTACTAGAAGTCGATTATTATTATACCTATTAAGCAATAACTCCCATGCAACGTTGTAATTATCGGAAGAAAATTCCACGGAGTTGACAACCAGGGGGCCAATCGCCTAACGGAAATGCTTTGGGAAACGCTAACGCTTACGATTTTATATTGTTATTTCTAGCCGCCTGAGGTTTTCGAATACCTCACGCTCATTTTTTTTAATATTGTTATTACCAATGCAAAAGAAAAAGAAAGAGCGCGAGGCATTTGAATACCTCAGGCGGCTAGAAATAACAAAATAAAATCGTAAACGTTAGCGTTTTCCAAAGCATTTCCGTTAGGCGATTGGCCCCCAGGTCAGCATTGCCTTTTAACGAGGATTTTAAATAGTGAAACTTTTGGATATCACTGATACGCTTAGAGTTAATCACCAAAGATAAAAAGGTATCGCGAAATTCAAGCCAGTGCTCATAGGAACCATCAAAGGTAGGCAGTGAAATAGTGGGTAGCTTTACTGACTGTGCTTGTTCGTCATAGCAACTCCTATCACCAGAACCGTCACTAACCTCAGAACTGCTCACTATGTGTTCTGCGTGCGCTACTGTACTATAATAAGAATTTTCAAATATTTCACGGTTATTCAACTGCTCACAGATCTCACTTTCGGGTACACACGCTTCGATTTTACTCTGAGCCTCGTTAAATTGAGCATATAAACTAGCAGCTCCTTTAATGCGTAATTTTAAATCTATGCGGTTCTGCGAGGAAAAAATAAGATTTTCGTTCTGTTCTATAGAGAGCAGATACGTGGAAAATTTAGTTAGTCGGCCTTTGATGACACCTCGTTTTCGAACTAGGTCGCGAATCAAAACTGGATCTGCGCATTGCGAAATAGGGGATATATCACGCGATCTAGGATTTTCGCCATCTACAGTTAGTACATTTTCGGTAGACATTTTGGTGGTCAGTGAAAAACAGGAGTACTTACAATTTGGATGTTCTGATACACGTCGGCAGTGATAGCAACGTCACAAGCTCGCGAAATGACTGTCCGGAACTGTCCAAATAGCTCCTATGCGTATATTTCACTGAAATCAGTTTAGACACAGGTATCACAAATAGAACCAGGAGGTGTTAGGAAAGAAAGGATGGTTGGTCCCACCAGATTGCGTATGATGCTCGATGGAATGCCACTCCAGCTTCGATTCCTGTATGCGCTTAGCCTCCAAGTAGTCCTCAGTCCAGAATATGCTCGTCTATTGCAGGTAATGTCCGTAGCAGCAGCTTCGACCGCGTCTTCCACAGGATGCTGGATTTAATTATTTGGCGATGAAGGGCCACATGTGCCGGATAGCGACCACCGGTACTTCGTTTTCGTATCGTCTATGCTTAGCTACGGAGTTTTGATACTGAGATTTTGGAAATTTAAATAAAAGGTGTGATATCTTTGAAAGTCTAATAGCGTATAATGGATTCAAATAAATCTGTTACAAAATTCGAGGAAGAGGGGTTGGGAACAATATTTAGCGACCAATGGCAACGTCGATTATTATATCGCGTCATGTACCATGTCATAGCACCATATGGATTGGTGACCGAGCCGAACCTTAACTTGGTGCGTTCCGTCTCGCACAGAAATGCCAAACACCCAACCATACCCTGAGCGAGGATGGAAAATGACCTCGTTGGACACGCGGAATACGGTTGCTCGCTTCTTCACTACTGTGTGCGTACACCTTATCTTTTCATCCGAAAAAAGAATTTCCCGATATTTTTTTCCGGCGTACCGCTTCAACAAAGCGCGGCATCTCTTCAGTCTCAGGTCCATTAGACGAGCATTCAAACGATGTCCTGTGTTTCTTCGATATGCCCGAAGCCCTAAGTCTTCATTTAACACCCTTTTCACCGTGGTTTTGCTTAACCCCATCTGAAGGGCCAACAGTTTCTGCTTACGTTTGGGATTTCTTTGAATTTGTGCCTTCACAGCTTTTATCACTGCTGGAGTCCTAACAGACCGAGGGCAACCACTTCTTGACCTGTCATCTACATAAGAGTCTTCATTGTATCGTTTGATGGTACGATAAATGAATCTTTTGGTTATATTCAAAATTTTCAGTATGTCAAAAATTTGAATTGGCGCGTAACCGCAACGATGCAACGCAATAACTGCAACACGGTCTTCTTTAAACGTATATTTAAAAATGAGTAAAATTCTAAAAATATAAATTTTTATTTTCATGAACAATTCGAAATTCGAATTCAATAAACTTTTTTGTGGCCAGCATTCTAAAAGAAAAGATTTTACTGTGTGACAATACTTATGACCTAACTGTGTACTTTTATATAGTATTATATAATTTATATTAAGTACATTCTGAAAACCTTTAGTCTCTTTTTTAGGTGATGATGGAGATATAATGGAAAGACCACAAACAAATATAACTGGATTTTCCATTTTTGATGAGCAAGGTCATCTGTGTCCTATAGATGGAGGTCTTATAGAAAATGATATTCGAATATATATGTCAGGGTATTTAAAATCAATATGCTCTGAATCACCAGATATTGATGAAGAATCAATACCTGTAAAAGATGTTGGTCCAATTATTGAATGGTAAGTTTTTTTTATATACCACTATAAGACTGCAAAAAAGGTTCCATGTAACTTACTACATACAACCACAGTAATGCTCATTTTGATGTAACATTTACAGCCCATTCTTTTAAAGATTTTCAAAAGAACTAACTATTAGTCAAATAGCTTTCTAAAAGGGCTCAAATATTTCGAGTTTTTAGATATATGGTGAACACAAATTAATAAATAATTATTAATTCTTCAATATCTTCGAAATTACGAGGATTTCGGGCTCGGTTCTTTATATACCAGAAATATGAACTCGGTCGCTAAATAGAGAGCGCCTTTCTGTTCTGCCATACCATAGTACCATTTATTCTGCTGACTGTACCAGTTTATTTTCAACTGCACTTACATTCTATACGAAAAGTTAGAAGTGCATGCAATGTTCGAAGTATCTTACACTCTGTCATCATCATCACTGAGCTTTTCTTATGATTTCATAACTAAGTCCATTCTCTATGGAATTTGCTTTGGGCATTATTATTCAAGTACTTAAGGGCATTACACATACAGGCGCTCGATGGCGCAAGTGGTGAGCGCTTTCGGCTGTGATCGTTGAAGTTAAGCAACTTTCGCAGTTGTCGGTCATTGGATGGGTGACCAAAAATGTACTATTTCGAACTCCTCCGTGCTTCAGAAGGCACGTTTAGCCGTTGGTCCCGGTTGCATCTGCAGTCGTTAGCATCCTCTAATCCGCACTGGGCCCGCGTGGTGGGTTATGGCCCAATCTCCCTATTCCATCCATAGAGAAGGCCTGTGTCCCAGCAGTGGGGACATTAATAGGCTGATGGCGCGATTCATGCACTCAAGGAAAAACAAAATTGTATCTATGGTAGGTATGCTGGACTTACATACACAAACAATAAATGTTTTATTTATGAAAAGACAATTTACTGGTTCATTACAGGTTTATTCATGGCTTTGATGGTGGTGAGAAAAATTGTATTACACTCTCAACTGAATTTGGCGAATACAATTTGATGAGGCCTAGTGAACAGTACACACCTCTTATGAATAATTTATATGAAAAAATATGGTTGAGTAAGGTAGTTGTTGAATATTTAGAAGAATATCATTACCTACAACCAACATATGAAGATTTACTTGAAGTGCTTAGAGAATCAACGATCCCTGAGTTAGATGATTTAAAAATGAGTGAGGAAATGCTCCACAAACATGCACAATTTGTATGTGATCAAGTTGTCAGTTTGGAAGCAAACGAAGATGACGAACCACTTATTACATTACCATGTATGCGAGAACTTATAAAACTAATGGGTATAAAATTTGGTAAAAGGAAAGTGAGAGCTAAAATTGATTACAAAAAGATTGACAAGAAGGCTTGGACTAAAGCTACTACTACACCTTTAATAAGGAAAACTTTCGAAAGTTTTTTTAGTAATCAATTAGATAAAACAAATCATGAATTAACTTTACGGAGAAAAAGATGCGGTGTTTGCGAAGCTTGCCAACTACCAGATTGTGGTGAATGTAATGCATGCAAGGCTATGGCAAAGTTTGGTGGTCATGGAAGAACAAAGAAAGCATGTGTCAGGAGATTATGTCCAAATATGGCTGTTGAACAAGCTGAAGATTCAGAATTAGATGATGAAGAGGATTTCCAAATCATGGCTGAGAAGAAACAACATGATAAAATAGATGACATTGTGCCAGTCAAATTAACTGGCACTAATAATAGAAAAATTAGCTGGGTTGGAGAACCTATAAAAGCAGATTCAACTAAGATTTATTTTGAAAAAGTGGAAATTGAAGGATCTGAACTCCAAATTGGAGATTTTGTAATGGTTGAAACCTCTCAGGCTAATATTCCTACCTTGGTTGCTAGAGTTGTTTATATGTGGAAAGATTTGAACAATCCCAAAGCAGGATATTTTCACGGAGAGGTGTTTATCAGATCATCTGACACAATTTTAGGTGAAGTAGGTGATCCAAGAGAAGTATTTTTGGGTGACAGGTGTTGTCATGGTGCACCTTTATCTTCAATATTGCGGAAAGCCTGTGTAGAAAAAAAAAATATACCTAGTGATTGGTTCAAATTAGGTGGGAAGGAAGTGTGTGATGAATCTTTTGAAGATGATGGTAAGACTTACTTTTATAAAAAATATTATGAAAGATTTACTGCTCGTTTTGAAGACATACCTGAAGATCCAATATGCCCAAATGATTTAAGAAAACACAGATTTTGTCCTTCTTGTGAGCGTAAAACAAGAAAAGATGGAAAGAATATACCCAAAGTGTTTGGAAAACTTGCTGAAAAAACCGCTTTGGTGCCAGAAAAAAATAAAACGGAATGGTCTTCGGTTAGATGGCAGGATTATGATTATAAAAAAGGCTGTGGAGTATTTTTAAAACCAGGCACATTCTTGCTTAATAATAGTTTGGACAGTATTCAAAACCAAAAACCCAAATTGGATAAGGTAGATGAAGACATCTATACTGAATATTATCGTAAAAGTGACAATTATTTGCGTGGCTCAAACTTGGACACCATGGAACCTTTCTGTGTGGGTTATATTGCAGCAGTGGTAGCAGCTAGTGATGGGGCTCTGATAGTTCCACAAGATATCTATCTGAAGGTTTATGTTTTATATAGACCAGAGAATACAACGAGTAGATTCCCTCAACATGAAGATTTAAATGTCGTGTATTGGAGTGACGAAATTAAAGAAATACCGTTCTCTGCAGTAGTTGGGCCCTGCAACTTGTATTATGAAAAAAATATACCACAACAAGATTTTTTACACAAATGGTTAGAACAAGATCCCAGTAGATTTTATTTTAGGATGGCATTTGACAAAAGTACAGGACAAATTACTCCTGTTCCCCAACATGCTGAAAATGTTGGACGCACTGAAGAAATAAAAGGCAAAGGGAAAGGTAAAGGAAAGTCGAGTAAACCTACTGAAACTAACAATACAAAAAAAGAAGAATTAGCAATCCGACGACTAAGAACGTTAGATGTTTTTGCTGGTTGTGGTGGTTTGTCAGAGGGGTTGCACCAGGCTGGAATTACGGAGTGTCGTTGGGCTGTAGAGAATGTCGAAGCTGCCGCACACGCATATTCTCTTAATAATAAAAACTGCATTGTGTTTAACGAAGACTGCAATGCTTTGCTCAAAGATGCTATATCTGGAGCTACTCACAGTGCCGGTGGTCTCCGTCTTCCTATGCAAGGAGAAGTCGAATTGCTTTGTGGAGGCCCACCTTGCCAAGGATTTTCGGGAATGAATAGATTTAACTCTCGCGAATATTCGAATTTTAAGAATTCATTGGTGGCATCCTATTTATCATATTGTGATTATTATAGACCTAAATATTTCATTTTGGAAAATGTAAGAAATTTTGTTGCTTTCAAGAAAGGAATGGTATTAAAATTAACTTTGAGAACGCTATTGGATATGGGTTATCAGTGTACTTTTGGCATCCTGCAAGCTGGAAATTATGGGGTGCCCCAAACAAGAAGAAGACTTATTATTCTGGCTGCTGCCCCTGGATTCAAACTACCCCTGTATCCGGAACCAACACATGTATTTAGTAGGCGAGCTTGTTCCTTAACCACCACGATAGATGGGAAAAGATTCGTGACAAACATTCACTGGGACGAGTCTGCACCGCGTCGAACGTGTACGATTCATGACGCCATGAGTGACTTGCCCCGGATTTGTAATGGAGCAAACAAAATTGAAATCGACTATGGCTCTATGCCAGAGAGCCATTTTCAACGTTTGGTTAGGTCTAAGGACGAAACTGCGAAATTGCGCGACCATATATGTAAGAATATGGCACCATTAATACAAGCAAGAATTTCTAGAATTCCAACCGCTCCAGGATCTGATTGGCGTGATCTTCCAAACATATCTGTTACCCTATCTGATGGAACTAAATGCAAGGTGCGTATAGATTAATAAAATTGATTAGTTTCTATCTTGTTTCTTTACCTGAAATATTTTTTCGTCATTAATGACTTCAATTAATTTAATATTACAAAAAAATATTGTGTGGTTTCATGAAACCACTACGCAAGTGAAACTTTTAAAATCATGATATTATTTTCTGAGGTCTATATAGTTTGAATTGGGTAATTATTTGTATTAAATGCACTTTTAAAAAAACGTAATCATTGCGACAGCATGTCTTTTGTTTCATGAGTAATTGACTGCAAGGTCAAGTAACCACTCTCTTTAACTTTAAACTAATATTTATGTTGAAAATAAATCTAAAGAATTCCCAGTAAATGCAGGCACAATGTACAATCATTCCACAAAATTTGAAATAAAATACGATTTAACCTAGTTATATGCTTGTATGTACTTTACTTTATAAAGTATGTAAGTAACCAAATATTTCTTGTCGCAGTGGATAGTAATCTCTGTTAACTTAGTTTAAGATTAAACATCAACTAACTTAATCGTAATTCGAAAACAAAAAATGTTAAATCTTGGGAATGACGCCCCACAGAATTTTTGAGCCACTTGTGCAAGTACTGTTCATACCATATATTATATTATTATATATATTCATCAGTTTAGTCTTAGTTATTAGAAATGTGAACAGCTAGGGCGTTCTATGTCGTAAAGTCTTTCCCTAGTCTAGTGGGGGAACTTAAATTAAAAATATGTAATGAAATAAACTTATTTTGAGACAGCCGGACATTAATCACATTTTCATTGCGCAACAGGTATTGCAATATCGTTACGAAGACAAGAAGAATGGTCGATCGTATAGCGGAGCACTTCGTGGGGTGTGTGCTTGCGCGGCCGGGGGCATGTGCTCGCCGGCCGATAAACAAGAGAACACGCTTATACCCTGGTGCCTGCCTCACACTGGCAACCGGCACAACAACTGGGCCGGCCTCTACGGTCAGTATCTAACCTGCCCGGACGCGGCCCCGTGTGAGGACAGAACACGCTCATACCCTGGTGCCTGCCCCACACCGGCAACCGGCACAACAACTGTGCCGGCCTCTACGGTCAGTATCTAACCTGCCCGGACGCGGCCCCGTGTGAGGACAGAACACGCTCATACCCTGGTGCCTGCCCCACACCGGCAACCGGCACAACAACTGTGCCGGCCTCTACGGTCAGTATCTAACCTGCCCGGACGCGGCCCCGTGTGAGGACAGAACACGCTCATACCCTGGTGACTGCCCCACACCGGCAACCAGCACAACAACTGGGCCGGCCTCTACGGTTAGTATCTGACCTGCCCGGACGCGGCCCCGTGTCAGGACAGAACGCGCTCATATCATCTGGTACCTGCCCCACACCGGCAACCGGCACAACAACTGCTGTGGTGGCTGCTGGCTATTTTTCGGATTCTGCAGATATTGAAGTTTACTGGCTGGAATACAACTCAAGGAAATTAAATGTTTCGTTAGTGCCCATAATTTTAGCTAATTCGGTGAACATGAATCACAAATGAGCAAAAAATTATTGCAATGACGCGTCCACTCATTCGTAACTCCAGTACAGGCCGGCCTCGTACTTACGGCATGTTAGGTTCTCGAAATACGCGACGTAAATCGAAACGACGTAAGTTGAGACATCCCCACGTACATTGACCTCGCGACAACTGAATTCTCTTATGACGTGTAGAGGAGGCAATACATACAAAAACATTTACTGGTTTTGCTCAAGGAGTTTGGGTTGCATGGGCAAGTAAGGGCCGATCCTTCACCCGGAGCCGAACAGCGTGAGAGCATACCCACTTAAGACTGCATACAAGAGCACCCACTTGTGCCCAGCTTATGTTTTTTTTTATACGAGGCGAACCACAGCTGATGTTAAGTGTAGGTGTACTCCAGTCGCGAAGATAAAAGATGTGGCAGAAAGTGTGCCACTCCAGCCATACTCACCTTGCTGGCCTGAACCCAATCCCCTTCTCCCACGGAACCCTACTCACCAGCAGAAACACAAGACCACCAACCAAAAGGCAGGACTCCAATTCGAGCGGATATCCGCTATGCCCAACCTCTCTTAATGTAGTGTAGTCATAAAGGTATAAGAATAGAGTAGAGAAGATATATAGACTCTACTACAAGTGGAAGTGTCCCTCTAATAGAAAGAGAAAGAAGATGGGAGACCGCTAGCTTTCTCTCTCTAATCGTGCATGCGCATTGGCAACCGTAAGCAGCTTACTATTTCGATGTGATGCCATTGGATGCCATGCGTCACAAGAGAGAGAGATAGCTAGCGGTCTCTCATCTTCTTTTGCTTTCTACTAGACTGACACTTTTAGAGGCACCTTCCCCACTCTATTCTTATACCTCTATGAGTGAGTTAAGCCATTGAGATTTTAAACAAAATTTGGGTAATGCCTACCTCATTGAGGATGCTCTGTGCTAACCACTACACACAGAAAGAGGTTAGAAGGGTGATCATAGACCTTTTGTACGGAAACCGATGTCGCCGGCTCGCCCCACTACAAACTAATACCCAATCAAATGACGCGATATCAATCTTTCTTTCTTTCTTTCTATATGTATTTCTATATAAATATACTTACATATGTATTCTATCCGTTACCTTAGTATCCCATAAACAAGCCTTATAGTGCTTACTTTGGGGCAAGGCTAATTGGAGTGGGTTTGATTAAAAAAAAACAGTCGAACACAGAACCTCTTCCTCTTTTGAAGTCTGTTTAAAATCTTTGATCATTCGAATTTTGCAAGTGAGATGTACTTTGAAAGTTCGATTTAATTTCGAAGGTCGTATATGTTGGGACGGGTACTTCAGTACGACAGTGACGGACCCAGAGCCGATGGGAAAGCAAGGTCGTGTCCTCCACCCAGAACAGAACCGCGTGGTGTCAGTGCGAGAGTGCGCGCGCTCACAAGGCTTTCCCGACACCTACTTATTTGCAGGATCCTTACAGGACAAGCACAGACAGGTAAAGTACAGAAGAGCTTATACAGTATAACGCCAATTAATCGAAACGCCAATTATCCTGTTATGCTTCAAAGCTAATGGCAAGACACTACATGCTTTGCGTGGCGCGTTTTTTTTGCTACTATGTGAGGTACATAGTATATTATTGTATTTAGTATTGTAGAACTGTGCTTGTTAAACTTTTAAGATTTATTCTATGTGTGACAGTTCGTTCTTCTTAATTAACAGTCTTGTCCGATTATCCGAATCGTTCCCGGTCCCAATTAATTCGGATAATCGGCGTTCTACTGTATATATTTTTTAACCATTTAAATGCTAGATGTTTTAATCCAAGGAAAATTTTACAAGAAAATTTTCACGCGGATCGGCCCTCCCCGGCGGTCAAGCGGCACTGTCTACTGCCTGATCCGAGTGGATTTTTTTCTGTAAAATTTTCTTTAGATTTAACAGATAAGCTTTTCTAAAAGTCTAATTAATTTACCTATATGATAGGTTAAACAATGATGAAACCTTCTATGTTTTTAAGTTGATACTTAGTTTCTAGATATACCTAATGGCGCAATTACATATGGTCTATATCCCGCATACTGATAATTGCCTATGGAATTTGAACAAACGACTAAGTTTAAATGAACGGAGTCTAGTACGCCCGTATTCGGGCAGTTTTCGTAACCGACGCCTTCTTCCAGCCCCTATTGGAGAAAAAGGAATTGCATTGCTTCGGGTGCCCGAATTCGAATAATGTCTCGTGCACCCGAATAGGGCCTAACGACCAAGTGTAATTGCGCCTTTAGATTGTGTTACATTAAAAATGTCTAAAAGTTAGGCTAGTATTTAACTGCAAACCAAAACATTGTTATTTTGTATAAAAATTAATTCCCAATCCTAAAGCAAAAATACTTATTACACAGCAAAATAGTCACCTCAAAATATCGTTATATTAGTTACAATTTAAGTTCGTGATGCATCGCTATTTATTTAAAACTAAAGCTTTTTTAAGAATGCATAGCTAATAATAACAACTTTACAACAAATATATTACATTTTTTTTTAAACAGAGCTGCCATATTTCAATCTCATACAGCAGTTTACCTAAGTGAAACACCATTTTTTGTATTAAAAATCTAATTATTGAAATAAAACTTCTTTAGGCACGCTTGACTTGGGGGGCAAACTTGCGAATGTGTTACGATTAGTCATGTCATGTCATTGGTGACTCATCGGTAAACAATGAACAATACCTACCCTTCACAAAAACATGAATCTAGTGCTTGGTGGGTGATAACGGACCCAGCGCGGATTGGTGGGTAATAATGGACCCACTGCGGATTGGAGTGTAATAACGGACCCAGCGCGGATTGGTGGGTGACAATGGACCCAGTGCGGATTGGTGGGTGATAACGGACTCAGCGCGGATTGATGGGTGATAATGGACCCAATGCGGATTGGAGGGTGATAATGGGTCCAGTGTAGATTGGAGGGTGATAACGGACCCAGCGCGGATTGGTGGGTGACAATGGACCCAGTGCGGATTGGTGGGTGATAACGGACCCAGCGCGGATTAGTGGATGATAACGGACTCAGCGCGGATTGATGGGTGATAATGGACCCAATGCGGATTGGAGGGTGATAATGGGTCCAGTGTGGATTGGAGGGTGATAACGGACCCAGCGCGGATTGGTGGTTTTTTTTTCTATCAACAAATCTTCAGGTTAAGTTTATGATTATCAGATCATTGGAGCTAAAGAAATTTCACTTCAGTAGTGTGGTCATAAGCACACTCGATTTATTTTTATAACCATCAAAAGTGTCCCAATGTTGAGCAAGTTTTGAAATGCTTAATGGGAAACCTGTTGCAAAAATAGTTGTTTTGTTACGGGTGCGAGTATTTTACGACGAAGCCCTGGTTAATTTTGTGTGCAATCGGTATATTTGCTGCGCAATCAGCATATTTGATATGAAAATCATATTTCTGTAGAAATAAACAAGTTTTTTGTTACTACAGCTTAGATGTATATTTTTGAATTATTTTCAGCACTAGTTTTGTTCAACAAATGTTTTGTTTACAATAAAATAATTATTTTGATGTAAAAAGTATTTAATTGCTGTAAATAACTTGATGGGCAATAAGTTATTTGCTTTGCATTCAAAAATATCCCTTTTTAATATAATAATTTGTCGTTTTTTTACATTAATATTTTCTTCAAATTCTAATATTGCAGATAGGAAACGCAGTTCCTCCTCCTCTCGGAGCGGCATTGGGAAGAGAAATCAAGAAAGCGTTTACTGCAAGCATTTCGCATTAGAGTAAGAATCAATTTATGCATTGACTTTTTATAACATTTTGTGACATTTTTATCATGCGTCTTATTAATATATACATTAACAACAATATTATTGTTTTATTTTACTATTAAGCTATCATATTAAAAAATAAAAGTTTTAATTTGTGGTACCCCAGCTCTGGGTACTCCACACAAAAGGATATCTACAAAATAAAAGAGAAAACTCGAAAGGAAGATAAAAACGTTATTAATAAAGGAATAGAAATATTTACACTAAATAACTATTGAAACTCTTAGATAGCTATCCGCGCCGCCCGCGCGATAGAATTCTTCATATCAGTCACAAGTGACAAGGAAAACTGCTTTTCTATGTTTTCGAACGTCCGTCATGCTTTATTTGAATATCAGCGGCCAGCAAGGAGGTGGCATGCATCTCGCCACAGTTTCTTAATCTGTGACCGAGTTCATAAAATGAAACAATATGTATATAAAAATATTTATTACATATATAATAATTCCAACACAATTACAGTAATAGTTTGTGAAGGCTGGTTCTAATTTATTCAACAAACCAGGTTGAAGTTACTTATCATAATAATCATGAGAAATATTCATGTGTCAGGGAATTATTAAACCAATCTTCCCCTCTAGCATGACCACCGAAACGGGATATGATAAAGCGATATATCGACATTAACTGTCTGACTACTGTCAAACTCCATAGTAGTCTGACAGTTAATGCCGATATATCGCTTTATCATATCCCGTTTCGGTGGTCATGCTAGAGGGGCTCAACTAACTAGGTAGGTATGACCCCTTTTCAGAAGTAATGAGAAAGATAAATAACGTCGGTTTCCGCAAATGCATGCAGGTGTTATTGCAAAAAAAGAATTAAGTCGCTCCAAACTTGGGACATACTCGAAAATAGAAGGTGCATTATGATCTACAGTCTCAAACACTTAGTAATCGAAAATTAAGAGCGCAAAATCATTGTCCCACACATCGCCAGGGCCGAAGCCATCACGTTCTTCACTCTCCATTTTCGATACTTAAGTAAAAATGCAGTGGTAAAACGAAAAAATACATTATTTAAAAGTACATTAGTATATTCCCAGTGAGGGAGCACCTTGTTGCAAGTTTTTGATTATGTTAAAAAACGCGGTAAAATGATATTAAAGAAAACGAAAATTAACAAAGAAACAATCATTCATTTCTTCCCAAAGAATAATCCATGATTCCATTTATTGCGGAAATATGATAGCAAACTAAAGTAAATGGCGATTTACTTAACAGTACAAGTAAATCTAAAATTTTACGATATGCCTCAGGACTGGCCTTCACAAAACCTAAGAAATTACTTTATTTCTACAACGAATTTTTTGTTTTTGTGCAACCAGCATACCCTGGTGACTGCCCCACACCGGCAACCAGCACAACAACTGGGCCGGCCTCTACGGTTAGTATCTGACCTGCCCGGACGCGGCCCCGTGTCAGGACAGAACGCGCTCATATCATCTGGTACCTGCCCCACACCGGCAACCGGCACAACAACTGCTGTGGTGGCTGCTGGCTATTTTTCGGATTCTGCAGATATTGAAGTTTACTGGCTGGAATACAACTCAAGGAAATTAAATGTTTCGTTAGTGCCCATAATTTTAGCTAATTCGGTGAACATGAATCACAAATGAGCAAAAAATTATTGCAATGACGCGTCCACTCATTCGTAACTCCAGTACAGGCCGGCCTCGTACTTACGGCATGTTAGGTTCTCGAAATACGCGACGTAAATCGAAACGACGTAAGTTGAGACATCCCCACGTACATTGACCTCGCGACAACTGAATTCTCTTATGACGTGTAGAGGAGGCAATACATACAAAAACATTTACTGGTTTTGCTCAAGGAGTTTGGGTTGCATGGGCAAGTAAGGGCCGATCCTTCACCCGGAGCCGAACAGCGTGAGAGCATACCCACTTAAGACTGCATACAAGAGCACCCACTTGTGCCCAGCTTATGTTTTTTTTTATACGAGGCGAACCACAGCTGATGTTAAGTGTAGGTGTACTCCAGTCGCGAAGATAAAAGATGTGGCAGAAAGTGTGCCACTCCAGCCATACTCACCTTGCTGGCCTGAACCCAATCCCCTTCTCCCACGGAACCCTACTCACCAGCAGAAACACAAGACCACCAACCAAAAGGCAGGACTCCAATTCGAGCGGATATCCGCTATGCCCAACCTCTCTTAATGTAGTGTAGTCATAAAGGTATAAGAATAGAGTAGAGAAGATATATAGACTCTACTACAAGTGGAAGTGTCCCTCTAATAGAAAGAGAAAGAAGATGGGAGACCGCTAGCTTTCTCTCTCTAATCGTGCATGCGCATTGGCAACCGTAAGCAGCTTACTATTTCGATGTGATGCCATTGGATGCCATGCGTCACAAGAGAGAGAGATAGCTAGCGGTCTCTCATCTTCTTTTGCTTTCTACTAGACTGACACTTTTAGAGGCACCTTCCCCACTCTATTCTTATACCTCTATGAGTGAGTTAAGCCATTGAGATTTTAAACAAAATTTGGGTAATGCCTACCTCATTGAGGATGCTCTGTGCTAACCACTACACACAGAAAGAGGTTAGAAGGGTGATCATAGACCTTTTGTACGGAAACCGATGTCGCCGGCTCGCCCCACTACAAACTAATACCCAATCAAATGACGCGATATCAATCTTTCTTTCTTTCTTTCTATATGTATTTCTATATAAATATACTTACATATGTATTCTATCCGTTACCTTAGTATCCCATAAACAAGCCTTATAGTGCTTACTTTGGGGCAAGGCTAATTGGAGTGGGTTTGATTAAAAAAAAACAGTCGAACACAGAACCTCTTCCTCTTTTGAAGTCTGTTTAAAATCTTTGATCATTCGAATTTTGCAAGTGAGATGTACTTTGAAAGTTCGATTTAATTTCGAAGGTCGTATATGTTGGGACGGGTACTTCAGTACGACAGTGACGGACCCAGAGCCGATGGGAAAGCAAGGTCGTGTCCTCCACCCAGAACAGAACCGCGTGGTGTCAGTGCGAGAGTGCGCGCGCTCACAAGGCTTTCCCGACACCTACTTATTTGCAGGATCCTTACAGGACAAGCACAGACAGGTAAAGTACAGAAGAGCTTATACAGTATAACGCCAATTAATCGAAACGCCAATTATCCTGTTATGCTTCAAAGCTAATGGCAAGACACTACATGCTTTGCGTGGCGCGTTTTTTTTGCTACTATGTGAGGTACATAGTATATTATTGTATTTAGTATTGTAGAACTGTGCTTGTTAAACTTTTAAGATTTATTCTATGTGTGACAGTTCGTTCTTCTTAATTAACAGTCTTGTCCGATTATCCGAATCGTTCCCGGTCCCAATTAATTCGGATAATCGGCGTTCTACTGTATATATTTTTTAACCATTTAAATGCTAGATGTTTTAATCCAAGGAAAATTTTACAAGAAAATTTTCACGCGGATCGGCCCTCCCCGGCGGTCAGGCGGCACTGTCTACTGCCTGATCCGAGTGGATTTTTTTCTGTAAAATTTTCTTTAGATTTAACAGATAAGCTTTTCTAAAAGTCTAATTAATTTACCTATATGATAGGTTAAACAATGATGAAACCTTCTATGTTTTTAAGTTGATACTTAGTTTCTAGATATACCTAATGGCGCAATTACATATGGTCTATATCCCGCATACTGATAATTGCCTATGGAATTTGAACAAACGACTAAGTTTAAATGAACGGAGTCTAGTACGCCCGTATTCGGGCAGTTTTCGTAACCGACGCCTTCTTCCAGCCCCTATTGGAGAAAAAGGAATTGCATTGCTTCGGGTGCCCGAATTCGAATAATGTCTCGTGCACCCGAATAGGGCCTAACGACCAAGTGTAATTGCGCCTTTAGATTGTGTTACATTAAAAATGTCTAAAAGTTAGGCTAGTATTTAACTGCAAACCAAAACATTGTTATTTTGTATAAAAATTAATTCCCAATCCTAAAGCAAAAATACTTATTACACAGCAAAATAGTCACCTCAAAATATCGTTATATTAGTTACAATTTAAGTTCGTGATGCATCGCTATTTATTTAAAACTAAAGCTTTTTTAAGAATGCATAGCTAATAATAACAACTTTACAACAAATATATTACATTTTTTTTTAAACAGAGCTGCCATATTTCAATCTCATACAGCAGTTTACCTAAGTGAAACACCATTTTTTGTATTAAAAATCTAATTATTGAAATAAAACTTCTTTAGGCACGCTTGACTTGGGGGGCAAACTTGCGAATGTGTTACGATTAGTCATGTCATGTCATTGGTGACTCATCGGTAAACAATGAACAATACCTACCCTTCACAAAAACATGAATCTAGTGCTTGGTGGGTGATAACGGACCCAGCGCGGATTGGTGGGTAATAATGGACCCACTGCGGATTGGAGTGTAATAAGGGACCCAGCGCGGATTGGTGGGTGACAATGGACCCAGTGCGGATTGGTGGGTGATAACGGACTCAGCGCGGATTGATGGGTGATAATGGACCCAATGCGGATTGGAGGGTGATAATGGGTCCAGTGTAGATTGGAGGGTGATAACGGACCCAGCGCGGATTGGTGGGTGACAATGGACCCAGTGCGGATTGGTGGGTGATAACGGACCCAGCGCGGATTAGTGGATGATAACGGACTCAGCGCGGATTGATGGGTGATAATGGACCCAATGCGGATTGGAGGGTGATAATGGGTCCAGTGTGGATTGGAGGGTGATAACGGACCCAGCGCGGATTGGTGGTTTTTTTTTCTATCAACAAATCTTCAGGTTAAGTTTATGATTATCAGATCATTGGAGCTAAAGAAATTTCACTTCAGTAGTGTGGTCATAAGCACACTCGATTTATTTTTATAACCATCAAAAGTGTCCCAATGTTGAGCAAGTTTTGAAATGCTTAATGGGAAACCTGTTGCAAAAATAGTTGTTTTGTTACGGGTGCGAGTATTTTACGACGAAGCCCTGGTTAATTTTGTGTGCAATCGGTATATTTGCTGCGCAATCAGCATATTTGATATGAAAATCATATTTCTGTAGAAATAAACAAGTTTTTTGTTACTACAGCTTAGATGTATATTTTTGAATTATTTTCAGCACTAGTTTTGTTCAACAAATGTTTTGTTTACAATAAAATAATTATTTTGATGTAAAAAGTATTTAATTGCTGTAAATAACTTGATGGGCAATAAGTTATTTGCTTTGCATTCAAAAATATCCCTTTTTAATATAATAATTTGTCGTTTTTTTACATTAATATTTTCTTCAAATTCTAATATTGCAGATAGGAAACGCAGTTCCTCCTCCTCTCGGAGCGGCATTGGGAAGAGAAATCAAGAAAGCGTTTACTGCAAGCATTTCGCATTAGAGTAAGAATCAATTTATGCATTGACTTTTTATAACATTTTGTGACATTTTTATCATGCGTCTTATTAATATATACATTAACAACAATATTATTGTTTTATTTTACTATTAAGCTATCATATTAAAAAATAAAAGTTTTAATTTGTGGTACCCCAGCTCTGGGTACTCCACACAAAAGGATATCTACAAAATAAAAGAGAAAACTCGAAAGGAAGATAAAAACGTTATTAATAAAGGAATAGAAATATTTACACTAAATAACTATTGAAACTCTTAGATAGCTATCCGCGCCGCCCGCGCGATAGAATTCTTCATATCAGTCACAAGTGACAAGGAAAACTGCTTTTCTATGTTTTCGAACGTCCGTCATGCTTTATTTGAATATCAGCGGCCAGCAAGGAGGTGGCATGCATCTCGCCACAGTTTCTTAATCTGTGACCGAGTTCATAAAATGAAACAATATGTATATAAAAATATTTATTACATATATAATAATTCCAACACAATTACAGTAATAGTTTGTGAAGGCTGGTTCTAATTTATTCAACAAACCAGGTTGAAGTTACTTATCATAATAATCATGAGAAATATTCATGTGTCAGGGAATTATTAAACCAATCTTCCCCTCTAGCATGACCACCGAAACGGGATATGATAAAGCGATATATCGACATTAACTGTCTGACTACTGTCAAACTCCATAGTAGTCTGACAGTTAATGCCGATATATCGCTTTATCATATCCCGTTTCGGTGGTCATGCTAGAGGGGCTCAACTAACTAGGTAGGTATGACCCCTTTTCAGAAGTAATGAGAAAGATAAATAACGTCGGTTTCCGCAAATGCATGCAGGTGTTATTGCAAAAAAAGAATTAAGTCGCTCCAAACTTGGGACATACTCGAAAATAGAAGGTGCATTATGATCTACAGTCTCAAACACTTAGTAATCGAAAATTAAGAGCGCAAAATCATTGTCCCACACATCGCGAGGGCCGAAGCCATCACGTTCTTCACTCTCCATTTTCGATACTTAAGTAAAAATGCAGTGGTAAAACGAAAAAATACATTATTTAAAAGTACATTAGTATATTCCCAGTGAGGGAGCACCTTGTTGCAAGTTTTTGATTATGTTAAAAAACGCGGTAAAATGATATTAAAGAAAACGAAAATTAACAAAGAAACAATCATTCATTTCTTCCCAAAGAATAATCCATGATTCCATTTATTGCGGAAATATGATAGCAAACTAAAGTAAATGGCGATTTACTTAACAGTACAAGTAAATCTAAAATTTTACGATATGCCTCAGGACTGGCCTTCACAAAACCTAAGAAATTACTTTATTTCTACAACGAATTTTTTGTTTTTCTTTTTATATTTTTAACCAATATATTTAATTCTGCCTCCGCTTTCGTCCTTTTTGGTTGACTTTCATTTTGAACAGGTAAATCTGCTGGTCTCCTCCTTAACTTTTCTTGAATTAATTTCTCCATATTTTTTGTTTTCTTATAGTTTGGATTTGAAGGGTCTATATTGAAGTGGTGGGAATTGTATACTGCTAAAAATCGTTCATCATCAAGATTAATATCGAAATCTGGTAAGTCAGAATTTTGCTCCGCCATTTTTTGTTTCTTTTTTCTTCTCGACTTTTTGTTGGAGCTCTCACGGTCCTGGATTTTCTTAAGACTGAAATGGGCTTTGCCGTCATTTTCATCATTAAGTAATAATTCTAATTCTGCTTTTCTTTTTTCTTCATCACTTTCATCAGCATTTCTTTCGGTGCTCTGTAAAGTTTTCCGTTGTTTGTCCTTCTTGAATTCAGGTTTATTGTGTTCCTCAGCAAAGTATGGATCATTCATATCAATGTCAGAAGGAATGTCATCATCAGAAGATTCAGTTTTCATTTCATCTGAATTGCTATTTAGATTTTGTTTGTTCTTCAACTTCTTCTGCTTGTTTTTCTCCTTTCTTTTCTTTATCAATTTCTCGAATGGTGTCAAATCCTTATCTGAAATAAGAAAAAAATAATTCAAGAATGAATAATGTAATAAAGTTTATTATGTGTATAAAGATGGTGAGGGTGTGAGGAGCTTAATGACAACAACTCTACGCAATACGACCGGCATAGGATGGGTGACCAAAGATTGAATATTTCTAGCTCCACTTTTCTTCAAAGGTACGATAAGTCGTTGGTCCCGACAGCATTTTGCAGTCTATTAGTACCCACCAGTATCCGTTCACCCTATTTCTTCCATAAGCAAGAAAATAGTAATCTACTATAAGTATGAAAATTCCTAATACCTTCATTTTGCTTCTTCTTTACCAACTCTTCAGCTTTATCTTTTATTCCTAAACCCCACGTGATTTCCATTTCCATGTCTTTATTGCGTTTATTTTCTTCTTTCTGCTCAATATCTTGTAAAAGCGACTTATATCTTTTTATTGGATCATCATCTTGATCTGATTCAGCGTTGTTTATTTCTTGTGTGGAGTCTTCATCTAATTAACAAATTGCATTACAGTATAATTTAATGAAGGACAATGCCCATTTTGGCCCTGATTTTTTGTGACTATATAAATCACGATGATTATATTAATCAACTATTATTAGCTATACATATTAATTTTTGAGATATTAATTCGTAAAAACATTTTTAATATAGAATAGAAAGAAACATCAGCAGGTTCATATTACTTACTAATTCTACATTAAAATTGATAAAACATTTACAACTTAGGCCAAAGAAGAACTGTTAGGCGAGCAGCTTTCTTAGTGGTATTGCGGTCTGCAAATGTATGGACGGTGCCCATTGTTCTATAAAAAGAAAATGTTTTTTTTTACTAATAACATAAACAATTACCGTCACTGCTGGAAGCCAAGTATTCTTTTAGGTCAAGATCGTCTATTTTGCCATCAAGCGCACTCCGTATTGTCTCAGCCCTGTTAGGGTTAGTTGTATCCCAAGTGAGTTCCACTTTTGCTTGTTGCAACGCTGTAGTTTTGAAAAGTCGAGGTTTATACTTAGTCATATCCGGTAGTTTCGTACATACTTCTCGTGGTTGCTGCAATTATCAGTAATGCTAGTTAAATAGAGTTGTTAGTTCTTAGTTTCACCTAATCTTAAGAAAAACTTTCTGTATGAAAGTAATGCAATATGTGAAAAGCTGAAAACACTCGCTAATTTAACTTTCTTAAGCCTTTTAAACACATTAAAAGGGGATGGCTAGAAATTAACTTGATTGATTTCAATGCGGGTGTAGCTATCGGATTGAGAAAATAACACTGCAGACCAAGGAAAACAAATTACTTAAGTTTTATTTAGTATTTTGAGTGGTTTCTCCTTTTATATCAAACTAACCATTTTTATTACAAAAGTAGAACTTCGATTTCTGTCCAAATGTACAAATTGAAAATTACATTTAACATCAGTCCTTAGATTAAAATAAAAGGGGAAAATACGGTAGATCCAATAAAATATGCTCTGAGCTTTTGCAACTCTGACGCACGCACAAACTTCTATAAATAAAAATTCAATCAAGCGAGACAGAACTGTACGCTTGAATGCAGTGCAAGCGAAACGGCGAGTCCGCGTCGGATGGCAACCGACTGCGTTCTCTCTTATTTCTCTACAAACGTCAGAGCTGTATTGTTGTCCCTTTCTTGATAACACATGTAAATAACATTCATGACAAACCTTAGACTGTTGAAAAAAAAATGATTTTATAGTTTAACAAATAAAAAGTGCTATTGTGGTTGTTGTTTGATCTTTAACTATTTACGTTATTTTTAAACGCATCATATCTTTATAACACAGAATATCTGCAACATTTCATTAGATTAAATTTCGTAAAAAGTAATAATAATAATATTGTTATATTGAGTGCACATGCAGCATGTTTGGATGTCAAATTGTGACTAAAGCGAATTGTGTTCATGCACCTAATTTAAGCAGTACACTTTTGAACCGCGAATGCCGTATCTTCGTTCTATCTTTTTGTTTTAATTTAAAAAAAGCAGAACAAAGTATGATCTACTGTCGAGCACAAACGGTTTGAATGGGTGTAACGTTTAGATTGCGATTTGATCAGAACAATACCAATCTAGTCAGCTTTTATTTCAGCATTCCTTCTATGGTAAATGTTATTCTATGGGTTTCGATGGGCTCGTAATATAATGTTTTGTTATATTCGAGCTTTTGCTCTTCTATGATCTGTTGCACATTACCATAATATATTATCTATATTGCAATTAAGTGACACGTTTACACAACATTATAATGTGGTACAAGTTGATAATAAATTCCATTATTTATTTTGAATGAATTTGGAGTATTTTTCTACACATAAATGCAGGAAAAATGATAATACTTGAGGTACGAGATTGGGCAGCTTTGTATTGTGAAAAGAATGGATCTTGTGACTCTGGCAATTTCTACTGCTCACCTGATCAAATGCGACATCATCTGGTATGAATCTCATATCTAGTCGCGTTGCACTGCTTTCGTATTCCATGCCGTCACATTCGCTATAAAGCTTGTCTGCAGTCGCTACAGAGTCGCAGACAACCACAGCATAATAATATTTCAATCTGTTCAATTGATATCGGCGCAATTTCTCCATGTGATAAGATGATCCTAGAAACATATATAGTTTAGAATTTAGATTAAAGTGGCGGCATAATATTTACAACGGATTTAGCTTTGGTTTACCTACGTCTACTAAAGTGGACTCAAGTCTTGGTTAAAGTTCCGAAAACCTGGAAGCTTGCCAATGTCCAACCAGTACCCAAAAAGGGTAGTCGTGCCGACCCTGCCAACTATCGACCTATTGCAATCACCTCCATACTCTGTAAGATTATGGAGCGTGTATTGAACAACCGTCTCCTCGCTTACCTCGAAGATAACGATCTCCTCAGTGACTGCCAATTCGGTTTCCGCCGTGGGCGATCTACTGGGGATCTTCTTGTTTATGCTACCCACTTATGGAGTGAAGCCATAGAGAAACGCGGCGAAGCTCTCGCCGTTTCTCTTGATATTTCAAAGGCTTTTGACAGGGTCTGGCATGCAAGTCTCATTGGCAAGCTTCCTTCATATGTAGTTGCTGTCGGACTTTGCAACTGGATTGCAGATTTTCTGAGGGGCAGATCGATACGAGTGGTCATTAATGGCACATCGTCGGATCTGCTTGGTATTAATGCCGGTGTCCCCCAGGGATCTGTCCTCTCCGCAACTCTATTCTTGCTGCACATCAATGATCTGCTCCTAACTCCCGGTATCTTTGGGTATGCAGACGACAGCACAGTTTCGGAGAGATATCTGCCGGATGTGAAGTCTGATGCAGATGTCCGATCATTAAGGGAGGCGATGGTGGAGGGAGTGAATGCAACCCTGGAAGCTGTTTCCCTCTGGGGTGAAGCAAACTTGGTTGGGTTTAATCCCTCAAAAACACAGGCCTGTCTCTTCTCGACGAAACGGAGTCCATTCCATCTGACTCCGACTTTCCGAAATGTCTCCGTGCCGGTTAAAGACCATCTCGAGCTCTTGGGTATGGACATCTCATCCAGCCTCAGTTTCGGTCGCTACATCGAGTCCATTGCTAAAACCGCTGCCAGAAAACTTGGAATATTTTCTAAGGTCAGGCGATATTTTACATCTGAGCAGCTCCTTAACCTTTACCGAGCCCAAGTTCGCTCCTGCTTGGAGTACTGTTGTCACCTTTGGGACGGATCTGCTCGGTAGCAGCTGGATGCACTGGACTCGGTGGAACACCGTGAGAAGAGACTCATTGGCAATGACGCTCTCGTTGAGGCTAATCTCCAGAGCCTTGACCACCGAAGACGTGTAGCTTGCCTCTCGGTGTTTTATCGGTTACATTTCGGAGAGTGTGCGGAAGTATTACATAATTTGATCCCCCTTTCCCCTATCCACCACCAGATGACCAGGCGCGGCGAGGGCTTCCACCCTTATGTTGTCGAAGTTCCTCCCATTCGCACGAAGCGATTTGCTTCGGCCTTCATTATGCGAACGGCTAGGGAGTGGAACTCCTTGCCGAGGCCTGTTTTCCCGGACCAATATAATCTGGACATCTTCAAGGCCAGAGTGAACAGGCATCTTCTTGGCAGGCGTGTACCATCCTAGGCCTCATCATCACTTTCCATCAGGTGAGATTGTGGTCAAACGCATTGCCTATTATGCATAAAAAAAAAAAAATCCCAATGTTGTCTCTTTCTTCTTTTTAGCAAACAAAAGAGACAGGAATGTGCCTTATTACAAAACGTGAACAAAAGTTAATCTTGGCTTAAACCTAATACTGTCTCTGTCTTCTCTTTACCAAACAAAAGAGACAGTATCATTTAACTTTAGTTAACTTTTTATAAGTTTAGAGCAATATTTACATTTAAGTTAGACAGTATAAAATCTTATAACATTTAAATTACCTTCTTCATTGTCATCATTGTTATCAGATAAATCCTCGTTTGTTCCCTCAGTTAGTTCAATAGGGCCACGCACTTCTTCTTCTTGCATTCTTTTAATTCCAAATTCGGAAGGGTAAACCTTAAAGACAATTTTAAAGGCATTTGTACAAATGAATAAGTGAATTCTAAATTAATTATGAATTACAGGCTGTTTTACTCCTATAGGTAGTGTCACGGAAGGTGAAAATTATACAATAGGCTATTTGACAGTATGAAAAATTAAGTGAGTATATTGATATTCATGTTATGTGTATATGTGTATTTAACATGAATATGAGAGAAAGAACTAGGTAATAATATTACTAAAAATCATGAAATACAGAAGTATTTTTTATCTATTCTCACATGACGTGACGTGAACGAAAATGCCTAGGTTTAACGGTGTCTAAAATGACATCAAATTCTTGTAACCATACCACTTCGACAGCATGGGTACTAACCATGCCATTCATTTGTACTGTTTGACGTTTTAATGTAAGCCGTGTGACGTCACCTTCCTGTAAACATACCATATTTGCTAGAGAAATGTTTACGCATCAAATCTGATGATTTTATTTGCGTTTTTTTTTATTAATACAAATTTGTCAAATAGCCTATTAGTACCCAGCACATATTCTTTCATGATTTTAATAAGGGTGCTTCTACACGGTGCAAGTAGTTGAAACATTAAAGATCAAATGTGACATCTGAGCATGAGGAGTGTGCACCAGCTACTTGTACAAGTTATTCGCTTGTTCTTGTACATGGTGCAAATGACTGCAGCAAGTAGACACGAGCTAGTTGCGCAAGCAGTACGCACAAGTTATTTGCTTATGGTCGAGAGCTACTTGTGCATGCTATTCGCGCGGGCGGTAAACTTTACGAGTTGAATTAATTGCATCAATATGTCTATGAATGTTTTTTTACCAGAAGTATTGAATTTACTGGAAGATGAATAAATAAAATTGCGAAGTAAGAAGTTATAGATGCGTAATTAGCGCTTGCGAACATCTAAATCTGCTGATATAACATGCGCGAGTGAGCTGCGCGCGCGGATTAGTTGCGCTCGCTCTGGTAAATGCACGAGCCACTCGACCCGCGCATATCTTTGCATGGTGATTGCAAAAATGAATAATCTAATTTCAACTTAATATTCATGATCACCATCAGCTTAATAATGTCCCTACGGCAAGACCACAGACCTTCCCTATGTATGGAATAGGGAGACTGGGCCGTGACACACACATGTGAGCCCAGTTCTTATTGGTGGGTACTAACAACTGCAGATGCAGTCAGAACCGATGTCTCAACGTGCCTTCCAAAGCACATAGGAGCTCGAGATAATAAATCTGTGATCACCCATCCAATAACTGTGAAAGCTCTCTAATTTTCACAATCGTAGGCCAAATGCATTGACCATCTGCGCCATCTAGCTCCTGTTATAACATTAATAAAGTGCATTGGTTAGATAGAATGCTTGAGTTTAAACATACTTAAACTTTCTGGTTATTTGATGCAGTTCCATTCTTTGTATTATCATAATATATGTAAGTATGTAACATATTCCAAATATATTATGTTTAAAAGTGAGCCTATTTAGAAAAATAAAACCACATGGACAATTATTATAAAACATTGCCAATACTAACAGTGACACTGAGAATAATCCCTCCAGGTGGGAGAAAAGAATTCAGAAGAACCATTATGTCAGCAGCTTTGATGTTATCCCAGTCCATATTGCATAGAGCTATTCTGGAAACAAATAATAGTTTATGATAAATAATTCAAACAAAATCAAATGATTATTATCTATTGTGCAATAGTTTATGTAAAGGAATAGAGGCCATATTCTGCTAGTTTTAGTATGCAGGCAAGGCAGGGTAGCTCTAACGAGATGTGACCTTAACACCTCTGAATTTTAAATATTTAATTATTCTACATGTAGTTGAATAAAATATAAATAAGAGTAAATGATAAAAATAATTACCTTTTGGTAGAATCATCAGTTGTCTCAGCATCAGCATCTAATTCTCCCCATTCATGTTCTAATTCACTCTCAACTTCTTCTCCACTACTTTCTTCATCAGATGAACTATCTGTTAATAAGACACCTGAAAAAATAAAGCAATATAAATATGTTACATTACAACATACGTAGGACTCCAAACATAAGTAGATTGTGTTCCTATTTATTATTTGCATTGACACCAACAACAAATATTGTTATTATGATATGAAATAAAGAAAAGAAAAAATAAAATTGCTCTACCCTATCGATGGGGGTGTCCTTGTTGAAAGCTTCCTATATAAATACTTCTTTTTTAATATTGTATATAAATATCTATTTATACGATGTTTTCTAACTTATTAGGTGAAGCTACATTTAGAAAAAGAAATTGAGCCTAATGTATTTCCCTTTACACTGGTGGACTTACATCAGAGTGTCAGCTTGTGAGTTGTTATTCACTGCTGTTTAAGATGTGATCAACAGGGGATTAACAACTACTACTTCAGAGATATTCAGGGTTGAAATTTTGAGGTCTAAACTAAATGTCATTTTTCAGCCCACAGCCCAAGACTATCAGGGATTGGGAGGGAGGCAATGGGGCGGAATCTAGCCCCAACTTCACATTCCCACCAAAACACATATTATTTACAAATAAAAACAAACCTCACTCCATCTAAGCTTATTTATATTAAAGTGAAGTTTAGAATTCTGTATGACCTTAACCTGGTCTCATCTACTATAAAAAAAAACAAGTTACTTTGTTTTTTTTTCAACATCTTGATATATACCTACTATGAAAGGTAAAAATTTTCAATAAATTATTTTTTTAAATTACGAGATTGTGCACATGAAACTATACAGAATTACATTTAAAAGTAGGATCTTTGTGCCATAAAATTATGAACAGCCTAATCAACAGACCATTATCTATATTTTAGACATTCTTAACATGAGTCTAAAGGTACCTCACCTTCTCCACGAGCATAATCTATTTCCAGATCCAATAATTTTGTTTTAGTCTTTTTGTCCAGTTTTCCAAGAATCAATGTGTCATTGTTAAAGCGGTGTTCTTCTTCATCACTTACTCGATTGAAATTCTCGCATAATTTTGCTTCAATACCGTCTTTTTTATGAAGTACAGTCTTTTCAGGCTCAGTCTCTTCACTGTCAGAACTGTTATCAGACTCCAAGTCATAGTATTTTCGTAAATTCTCTGTGGATGTCTCATTTATCGGTCTACCACGCTTATCCACAGTGTATTTGACTTTAAATTTTTCATCATTAAACATAGATTGAAACCTTTTGTCGATTTTTACCTTTCTTTCATGTTTTGGAATTTGTCTGTACCGTGGGTCATTCAGATATTTGCTAAAGCGACTATCTTTTAGAATATCACTCATTTTGAATTTATTTTGTTTTAGTTTCTGAATTTTCTGTTAATGCCAGAAATTTATTGGAATTTACGACTCAAAATTAACCTCAATATAAAATTCAAATAAATGCGTTTTTTTTTGGTTAAGTTCTCCCTTTTCAGGGAAGGCAAGGGGAACAATGCCCATACAGCCTAGTCTTAAGTTAAATTATTCTGTTTTTCTTTTTACATTAGAATGTCGGTGTGACGCATTCTAATGTTTCTTGAAGTGTTTCGCACGAAATGTATCGAGCTGGCTTTTTCGATAAGCTTCTGTGAGGTAGTCAATACTACAATAAAATTCTCACGTCCACTTGACCGGAATAGCGTATATTTTGACGATTCTACTAATTCTTCAGTTACGCAGACAGTTGTAACACAAAATCACACCAATTTTATTTCACAATATAATTTTCAATATAATATAATTCTATATATTAGAATATAGAATTATATTTATTTATACGAATTTAAGAATAATTAAAATAAGACTTTTTTTTTATTATTATTATTATTATTATTATTATAATGGCTCGCACGGTTTGTGCATTGGCCACGACAGGGTAAAAGCAAGAAGCTTATATACAACACTGGAGATTGCATGTAGAACTTCTGTATGAAGATGAGTTCATTAACCCCATGATATGTTTTTTATCTCTCTCACACACTATCTAAAATTACCATGTTAAATACAAGAAATTCCAATCACAAAGTGAAAATAAACAGAACTATGCATGATATCAATCAGTTTTACAATCTCCAGAAGTCCTACTCTTGTATTACTATTATAAGATGAGTGTGACAAATTCTAACCAACTACTTTGAAATCAATATTTAAAACTGAATAATAAATACGCCCTTTATTTCCCTGTTTGCTGGTTGCTACCATTTTGGTATAATAGCAACACTAATTAAAAAATCAACTGAAGAATATCTCCGATCTGTCAAAAAAAATCTACCGCTTCGAATGTTTAGATTATTATTAAAAAGTGTTAAATTGTTCAATTTGCTATTTATAATATGTATGGTGTTGTGCGAGATCGCAGAAGTGTTTGGGAACCAAATTCCAGCACTAAATTTCACAGGTAAGTCTATTACATTACGCCAATACCGAAATAAACATATTCCTATATTTTTATGTTGTAATCATAATAAAACGTTAGTATTTATAAATCATAGTGTCCTGAGGCTATAAATTAACGTTATTCTTGTTTTATTCACTACATTTCGTACCATATTCAGCAGTTTATTAAATTAAAATAATATAAATTTTGGTTTTGTAGGGTAACCATTATCACTACACTTGAGATATTTTGAGAAAGTTAAAATACATAAGTATTATTGTAAATATTAATTACAAAGTTCAAAATATGAAAATAAGTTTATAATAAATACTGTAGTAGATCATGTTGATTAGATGTAGAAAACCTATTTAATAACAGCTATCTAGCAGCGGTCTTATACATTTGTTTATGTTTCAGCTTCCCGAAAGATGTCATTTAAAGAAATTCTTGGTTGTCCATTATACTGTCACAAACGCTATCGAAACGGAACCGCGAATGTGCTAGAGATCGAATTTGCCAGAGCACCGCGGGTCGCAATAGAAGTCGAGTAAGGCGGCTCATTCTAGAATGAGCCTTATGCAGTGCGTCGTAAAGGAGAAAGTGCAACGATATCTGCACTTGTTTACAAGTTATGCGTGTTACTTGCGTAGGTATAAGTAGGTATTTCGTACTCGCGGGTGCTAGGTAATTCTCAATTTAACAGGTACTTTCTAGAACTTCGACTTTCGACGACCTCCGTGGTCGAGTGGTTTGTACGCCGGGTTTTATGGTGTCGCCGACTCGAGAGGTCCCGGGTTCAAATCCCGATGGGGACAGATGTTTGTGTGATGAATACGAGCATTTGTACTCCAGTCATGGATGTTTAATATGTATTTCTATAAAAAAAAATATACTTATATATGTACAGTTTATGTATTCTATCCGTTACCCTAGTATCCCATAACACAAGCCTTATAGTGCTTACTTTGGCTAGGCTAATTGGTGTGAGTGTTGGAAATATTTATTTATTTATTTACTTTCTAGAATGCATCGATCGGCGTATATAAGGGCGATTGGCGCCGCGCAGAGACAGTTGAGTTTCAACAACGATTTCGGAGCGAATCCAAAGGCGATCAAAGTGCAACAAAAGTGTTCAAGTGAGATTGTTTAGAGACTTGTATAGTGAAATACAGTGTTTAGTGAGTGTTTTGTATTGTGTGTTAATTGTGTGAATAAAGAACTGTCAATCGTGAACTGGCATATAATTTCGAACCGTATCCCAACACCTAACAATACCATTAAAAGGTCAATTTTATTTATCAGCCAAAATATGTAGCTTAGAGTTTCTAGTCCGTTCTTAGTAAAAGGCATTTCTGGCGATTTTAAAAAGGGTTTGCATATTCTTTTAATTTTTTTATAAACGTTTTTGACATTGCATAATATAAGACGCATCTAATATGAATAAAATGATTTTTGTACTTGTGAATTTTATTACTATTAAATAATGTGTTCCCAAGTTCCTATCAACTCCAACGCTTTGATTTATAAATTGTTTAAAGACGATACCAGTAAGTATGTATCCTAAACGTATATTCCAACATGGTCACCCTTAGAAAGAGATAACAAACATATGTGACGTCATTCAAGGCCATATTTTTTATGGTTGTTTTCGAGGTATTGTTTGCACTGCAATCTCCAGTGTTGTATATAAGCTTCTTGGGTAAAAGGTAAGGAAACCCACAGACATATAATACTATAGCAGACGGAACATAAAACCTAGTTATATTTATGAATCAAAGCATGATCTTTCATCCTTTTTGTACTCAGCTACAACTCGATAGTGGCATCTCATTCTTCCAATACTGACTCACACATCAACAAATGTCAACGCGTGTCATTTTTATTCCTCGCCGCCATTTTATTCATGACTTATCGGACATGTGACTTTTCGGTGATTATTAAAAATATAGCTTTGATCTGAGGCTTTGATGAAACTATATTACAAAACGAGATTATTCAATTACTATGGTCAAGTACAGTGCGTATCGATGTGAAAGTGCTACCTACAATAGAACACCAGGATTACCTTTCATCAGTAAGTTTTTATGTGTCTTTGTTGTGTACTGAAAAGTCTTTGTCTTTTCGAAGTTTATTTAAATATTGGTGTCTATTCTGACACTATTCTCTAAACCTAAACTTAAATTTGACAACAGTGTATCCTTGTCATTCTCTATACGGAATAAAAAGGCGAGATTGATGTTAATTTTAGTTTTAAGTTTAGAGAATCACGCCAGAATTGACACCATTATCGTAACATGTAACATTTTTTACGTAGGATTAATTATCTAAGATACTACCTGTGAAAACTAATATCCTAAAAGTAAAGAAATAGAAGTAATCAGGATAAGTCATGATAGGAAATTCCAATTCTGACAACTGAAGTACTGTTGCCATAACAGAGGACGGACTCGGCATTAATTTTGTTTGCATTGCATTGTATTTTGAATGTGAATGCAATCAAGAACGTAAATAGATAGGTACCTATTATAGACTAGCTATTCATATTTCTTGGAACATTGGCATCGGTAGGTATATAACCCAAATAACCACATAAACAATTTTGTTCTAGGTTTTCAAAGGATGAAAGTACTAGGAATGCATGGTTAAAATATATGAAACGCCAGGTTTGGCAACCAACTTATAGTGTTTTAAGTGTTTTTTGTTTTAAAATAAACTAAAGTTATGATTTTAATAGTTTGATTAGATTCATATGTGATTATGTCGATTATTCAATATTTGACTCGAACAATCCAGATCATGACATAAACCATGTCCACTTGCTTATTAAAGTTGTTGTCAAATTTTATTTTGATCTTAGATGTAAACATCAATGTAAAGAAACAAATGTATCTCAGAGAAATTTTCTAAAAAAAACTTGTATTATTTCAAAATAAATAAATAAAAACTAGGCCTTAAATTTTTATTTAAATTTTCCTAATTGTACCTATGTCCTTTCTATCTCCGTGCTCAATTTCATCATTATCGGTTCAGCGATTTCGCCTGGCTAAATTCGCGATTTACATTTATAATATTATTAGCATGGACATCACATTAGGACCTATCTATTCGGATAGGTATTTCAGAAACAATAATGACATCCATTATTCTACTATACTAAATGCGGCCCATGCTTTGATGAGTTTCAATGTGTGTGTATTTGCCACGCTGTTTAAAACTGAATATTCCGTCTGCTACTAGTTATATGTCTGTGAGGAAACCAAATAATGATAAAAATAAAAGTTGCGAAACGGAATTCGGAAGGATTAGGATCAGGTAGGTACATAAAATTAATTTGAAACGTAAGCAATAGGTCTTTTTAAGCATATAAAATTTATTATATTATTTGTTATAAATTACTTATATTTAGGTGTTCGAGCCTACGCTTGAACCACTTGAGATTACGCTTAAGGAAATCGTCACTCACACTCATATATCTATCTCTTTCACACGAGTAAAGATGCGTATACACTGTTGCTGTCTCTTTCATTTAACAAGCAGCGGCGAGTGGTGGTGGCGCGAGCGCGCCGCGTTCTTCAATCTTCAGTACGCTTTCAATCGTCGTGACACTCGGAAGTGAAACATACCTAGGTAAGGAAAAAAAATCTTTCGATCTAAAGTCTGACTCTAATTTTATTCCGCTCGGCGCCCTGACATATGTGCTCATCGAAGCACAACGCTCTCTGCCGAATCGAGGCGGCACACTAAACTATTCGAGACATGTCGGTCGAAATGAGACGACGCGCCGTATGAGTATGAACTCAAGTGAGACGATGCACGATGCGTCGTACTGGATGAGACGTCACGACTTATCTTGACTTGATACAACGAGTAGCATGATTTGGGACGACGTCACTTGAATTGAGACGACGATCGGGACGGCGCGTCGCACTGTCGTACTTACTGACTGTTATGACGCCTCGTCGTCTGAGACGACTCTTCACAATCTGAAACGACATTTTTACGGCACGGGGCGCCGTCGCACAAGTTAATTTATCACTTCCACCAT